TTCCGTGGACGGAGTTGGGGTGGCGGGGTTGGTGGGTGGGGCAGGGGATGGGGGGGGGGGGGGGGGGGGGGGGGGAGTCATAGGTCCCCACCAATGTCCAGAGCAAATCTACGCCCTTGCTTTGACTACTTTCATTTTCCTATAAAATCTGACTGAGAAAAGAATGTATTCGGCTAAACACATCCCACCACAAGGTGGCAGTAGATGATAAATATGAATGATTTTTTAAAGTGAGTAAAAGTAACAAATGCACACCACAGAAAAAAAATATCCCTTTAAAGGTTTGAAACTATATTTGTAGCTGAAATTCAGTGAAAGACCCAGTGTTATGATCAAAAATAGTATATGTGACACAAATTGCACCCATCTACTATCAAAATATCAACCAGTAGATTTGTAACATGATGCAGGACACCCTGGATGGGATACCGGTCCACTGCTGGGCACATTCACATACTAAGGGCCCGATTACGGATTTGTGCACGGCGGGAAGAAACCTGAGCATTCAGAATTAACCCCCAGGAACACCGGTAGAATCTCCAGGCACAGAGGCAGTGGGATCCAAACCCACTACCTTAGTAGCATTTCCCACTAGGACAATGTGTTACCCCCATTAACTTCAGATTGGTGTAAGACCACATATTAAGGCCATGAGCCACTCCTGAATTAACACTGGACATTTTCATTGCCATCCTCTATATGATTTCCTAGTCATAAGACTCATAACACTTTACTTAAGGCCATGTTTTTATATAATTTATAGACACATTCATAAAGCATTATAAACGTGACTATAAATATTTATCAAGAGGCATAACACATTATAGCCATGCTTATTATGCATTACGACTGCTCTATGAAGCTCTCAACCATAATACGTTATAGATTGTTAAGCATGGCACAGCGCCAGTACTAAAAGGTGACAATGCACTAGCGGTTCCTAAAGGGGCTTATTAACAAAGCAGAACACTGTGAAGGGCACAAATTAAAAGGACCAGGAGGGGTTTTTAAAAAAAAAAAAAAAAACCCACTGGGAAAACAGGAACCAAGTATAAAAATAATAAAGTAACCCAACAAAGAAACAGGGCGACACAAGTAGCAGGCAGAGTCACAAACACAGAGTAACATCTAACACACAACAACCAACCAGGAAACAAACTAAGGCAAAAACTTAAATACACCGGCAATGAGGACTAACAAAGGGCAGGTGTGACTTATGAAGCAAAACAACCAATCAGCAGAGACAACAGGCAGAACAATTAACAAGTACCGGCACAGAAAAACTGGCAACAGGTGGAATTAATAACAGATGATCACTGAACTATAAGACGCTTAATAAACTAGGAAAGAATGTGACACTAGGAAGCTAAAGCAAAGTAGAAAAATTACAAAATCACAAAGGCACAAAACACAAGGAGGGCAAACCAGGGGAAGGAACTAAGACTTGGGAACAGACTCATACTAAACATGAAAAAATAAAAAGTCAAATAAGAAAAACAGGTGAGGCTAGTTTTAAGCCAACCTGAAACCCACGACCAGGTGGTTCAGTTTAAGCCAGCCTCAAACCCACGACCAGGTGGTTCAGTTTAAGCCAGCCTCAAACCCACGACCAGGTGGTTCAGTTTAAGCCAGCCACAAACCCACGACCAGGTGGTTCAGTTTTACGCCAGCCTCAAACTCACGACCAGATGGTTCAGTTTAAGCCAGCCTAAAACCCAGGATCAGGTGGTTCAGTTTTACGCCAGCCTCAAACCCATGACCAGATGATTCAGTTTGTCACCTGCTCAGCCCACTGAGCGACATAGCAGTTCAAGGTGCAAGCAAAACACAAGGGTTGGAGGAAGTAACAGGGAAGACAGGAAGGCCAACAACACCTGCTGGCCAAATGGGGAGGAGACACAAAGGACAGGGTCACACTGACCCTGACAATACATACCATTATAGAACAAAGCAACCTCAATGCTTATACCGACAATTATAATGCATTATGAAGTTCATAAAGCATTTATATTGCACAATAAACATGGTTATAATGTGTTATGTCTTTTTATAAATATTTACAGGCATGTTTACATGCTTTATGAATACATTTTTATATTCATTTTTGTTATGAATGGGTTTATAAATTACTAAAAGCATGGCCTTAAGTAAAGTGTTACTAATATTTGCAACTGCTAATGAGTCAGCGATTAACCTCATACCGGAGAAAGGCAGACTCAGTCATCTAACAGGGTCCACATTAGTCTGAAGTTCAGAAGGAGACACGGTTTGTCTGGCCGTTATGTAACTTGATTACGGCGCTCCAGCAATGACCTGGTAAACCCCTTGAACATTTCATTCCTGCTTATTCTGACTTTACATGCCTAGTAATATCAGCTACAGAGTACGGCCGCTGTATTCGTATCATCTGAAGTCAGAAATAGAAATAGTGCGTTGCTATTTTTTCATTTTCTATCAGACATCTAATTTTAGGTTTTATTCACCTGACATGTTTCGACGTTCACTGTCGTCTTCCTCAGAGTGTTACCGGATGTTGTCGGTAACTCATTAGTTATCAGCTGATGTAAATGCAATACGATCCCATGAGATCCCATGTAAATCATGTAATAAAACTTATATTGGGGAGACAGGGAGGAGTTTCTCTACAAGGAAGAGCGAACATAAGAAGGAGTGTGAAAAGGAGACA